ACAATGAAAGCATTTATCCACATGCCAGCAAATGTCTCCACTGTGATGATGGCCACAAACATGGCTCCATATAAAGTGACATTGGATTGGTGTGGAGAGTGACAAACTTCCATGCTGCGAGCTGGGGAGCAGAGCTGTGCTGGCCAAGGGGGCTGTGGCAGCAGTGCCTAAGGCAGGGCAGTGGCTGCTGTTGTCTGAGTGTGAGGGATGGCAAGAGGAGCTTTATAGAGCTGCTGCTGGTGGGGGGGATTTTGGTAGCTGCTGTGGGGAGCAGGGCAGGTGCAGGGATGGAAATGTGCTGGGKATCCCCTTACCCGGGGCCGGTGTCACTCTTGACTATTTGAATGTTTGCTTAGGGGTATTGTGTTGSGTGACACAAAGAGCAGAGATGTTTTTCTGCAGTGAAGAGTGTTGTGGTTTTGTGAGTGATACCTGTTTGATCAATGTCAGGCTTCAGGGACTTGGATTCTTGTGTCTTTTTCACTGACCAAGTTAATTTTAGAGACGCTCTTTCAAAAATAATATTTCTTTTGCTAATTTGTTATATTGATGGAGGGTAGAGTATTGCCTTGAGAATGTTTTTGTTTCCTGTTACTGCCTATTGTCTGCTTTAGGCTTTGGTGTGAATTTCCTCTCTGGTTTTTCTGGCAGAGCAGAAAACACACCATAGGGCTAGTCGTGGGGTGTGTGTTTGTGTGTGTGTGTGTGGTTTTTTTATTTGATGGCTCTTTTATTTCTTTTTCTCTCCATATACTGGTGAGAAGAATTGAAGTTATTTCTATTACAAATGGTTTGAAGTTGAACTATCTGTGCTGGGACAGTCGCTGTATAGGRGCATTAAATGAATATATGTCCTGGTTTAGGCATGGTCCTCCCCAATTCTTTGCCCCAACTGTGACTCTCCAAAGCACACTTCTAGTTTCTTTCAGTCCCCCACTTTCCCTCTGCCCTGGGCAGACTGGAGAGGACAATTCAAGGAACAAAAGCAATGATCAGGGTTAGGGTCAGGACAATTGCGTGGAAACAGTAATGAGTGAAGGAAAATTGACAGTAACAGCCTCAATACTGATGTCAGAGAGTGCAAGAAAAGATACGAATCACATGGTAATAAGTCGCCAATAACATATCGGTAGGGACCCCTTCTCCCCTGAAGACCGTCCCCTCCCCTTGCCCCATCAATGATGTGAGGTGCTATGGACTAACCCTGAGTACTGGCCCTGTCCTCTCCAGGCTACTGTAAAAATTAACTCTGTTCTGCCCTGAAAAAGGAGAAAATGTTAGAACACCAGGACCACACTGTGGCTGTGGCTTGGGCTCATGCAGCTCTGCATGTGGAATGTGGCACCTTAAAAAAAATTAGTATGTTTCAATCAGAGTCTCCAATGCTGGGTTTTCAAAGCATGAAGATATGGATCAGGTGCTTGAAACACAGCTGGTTACCTTTAGTTCAAATTCATCCCATCTGGCACCACATGAGAAGATGAAGGAATGAAGGATTCTGCAAGGTTTTGTGTCATTCAGCCAATGTGTGTATTTTGGATTCCCTTGTGCATCTCTGATGGCACCAGGCCCTCGTGTTTCTCCATCTGGATGGACACAGAGGTGTACTGGGATCTCAGTCACATCACACACATCAGATACTCAATTGCTGCCATCAGTACCTGGTTCAGGCCGAAAATTTTTGCTTTCCAGGATCTGTTTCATCCTCTTTTTATGGCACAGGGAACTCCAGATGATTATCCGTATTCAGCTAGTTAGGCTCTTAGTTGCCTAAATTCTGTCCAAATCCACTCCTCCTGTATTTCAGCTCCGATGCACAAGCATGTTCAGAGAATCCCAGAATCCCAGAATCCCGGAATCAGCTGAGTTGGAAGGGACTTACAGGGATCATCAAGTCCAACTCCTGGCCCTGCTCTGCACCTTGTGCCCAGGAG